GCTGTTCGTAGGGCTTATCCTTGTTGGGTCCCGATTCATGGGGGCGCGTCAGTCAATCTTGACTAAGCCTTCTTGTTTCCTGCAGTTTGACTGGTTTTTCCATGTATCTTGCTGTACTTCTAAGGCACGAGAAGGCGAGGACGAGGCCAGCTTGGCATGAGTGTTGCTATGGCATGAGTGTTGCTATTTGGGACCAGTTTTACATTCCAACGGGCCGCGTTTAGGCTGGTTTGTGTAGCTCTCGCTAAGTTATAGGTAAGGAGTTTTAACTACTCTTTAGGGAAGTAAAAGAGCTGAGTGCTCTCTATTCTCCTTGGAGTTGTGTTGCGTTGGTGGCCTTAGGCCTTTAGCCGAATCAGGGTGATGGTCCCAAACTCTTTTGCTGGGTAATGATTGCAGATTCTTTGGGCCTCGCTCCAGTGCTATCAAAATGTGCAAAATGAGAATGAATCTTCCGATAGGACATGGAAGTTTATGCCACCGTATTTGTTGTCGTTTGTGCACATGGAGAGTAGTGGACCTTTTGTTGTTTTTTCTGATCCGGGTTGTCTGTGAGGATTTCCCGGCCTCAACATTTTAATTTTGCAATGGAATCCTCTCTGTGATTCCCCGCAGGGGAAAGAAGAGGGGGCAATGATCCAGCTGCCCAGCTCAGCTGGTTAGGCATGCAAATGGCATTCAGGAGGTTCTATGGACCTGATGACCGCCTGCGGTGCACTTAGAACCAACCAACTGTGAGAACCCCGCTTAATACCCCTGATCGGTACTAGGGTCTAAGAGCAACACGGGTGACGTCGGGTGTGAGTGTGAGCGTGAGTGGGTTGTGTGGTGTGTGGTGTGTGCGAGAGTGTTGATCATAACCGCTGCTGCTACTCCATGGGGGTTGGGGGAAGTAGACAGGAGACGCAGCTACAGGCACAATGGTCGGTCTTTGCGTTAGCCGGCTCTCCCCACCCGCAGCTCCACCCGACTCCCTCTCCACCGCCCGACATGCATCCCCTCAAGTGTGAGACGTAGCTATGCTTGCAGGGGTCCCCTATATAGGCTTAGGAGTGGTGGTGGGTAGATAGTGGAAAAAGATAATCTGGAAAAGAATATAGCTTAGTTAAAAAAAAAAAGAAAGGGGCAATGGACCTGCAGGAAGGGCCAAGTTTCCCAAAGTCAACTCCAACGAGACAAGCCAAATTATTATGTCCTTTCGGATACGAGAAAATGAATCAACGGTGTCTTTGTTTTTGTGTTTTCTTGCAATAAACAGTTTTTGTCTTGTTTTTGTCGTCGAATTGTGCCTGGACAACGGAAGATAGAGTCATTGGTGGAGGAAGTACAAATAAGGGCATACTCACACGAGGACCTTTTGACTTGTTGGAGCGTTGTTCCAAAGAAAAAACCCTATTTCCGGATGTAATTCCAGCTTTCCAGCCGGAAATGCGATGAGATACATTTTGTACCTGATCCCATGTTTGTTAGTAGAGGGACTTTCCGTGAAAAACAGGGATCCCACATGGTTCCCCGTCCTGTGACGAACCACTTTCTGTAACGGGCGATTTTCTACGCGGTTGCAACGAGGGGTCCTAAGCTGGGAAGATTGGGTCACTTCCGGGAAATCGGGATCGGTGGAAAATTGCATCAGTACCCTTGCTTCTTCGTCTTTTTCATCGCTTCTTCCGGGCTGGGTGTGTCCGGGGACGGCCGGTTGGGAGATTGGTCGGATGGATGTCTAGCGCGCCACCACGCGCGCGGTTAATAAATGTTGATGTCGTTTCTTTCGTTTCGGGTTCGATCTTTTGAGCATGGACATCGCGTGGGAAATTGCTTTGTTCTTTTAAATTTTCTTTTAAATCTTTTTCGAATTTTGTCGAGCCCCCGATGGCTCTCGGAATTTTGGACTTTCTTTCTGGAATGTATGCTTTTTGCTTTTCCGCATTAGATAGGAATTTAGGAATTCAGTACTTAGGACTTTTTCTGCCGTGCTGCGCCTTTTGTCTACGCGCTTTTTCATGCGGCTGCAACGGTACTCTGATTAGTGGGCGCCCTTAATCGTGTGTGTAACTGCAATTTTGGGCGGGCGCCATTGTAACTGTATCTTTCTTCTTGCACTTCGTCTCTCCCGCTCTCCCTCTCT